GAAAATATCCATGGCAATTTGCCATGTAATGTCCATTTCCTCTACATCTTCAGGATGTATCTGGTCCAAATCAGCAAATGATAGTTGAGGTGGAAGATCTCCAGCAACAAAGGAATTGTAACAATTGACTAGCCCAGCAGCTAGAGCCAGATTTTCATCAGATTCTTTGGAGTTCGAAGTAGAGGCTTTAACTGACACATTGGGAGCAAAAATGGGTTGAGGGATAGTGAATGACACATTTTGTGTTTGATGGTGAGGGATGGATGGTACAACATTGAAAGTTTGAATATGAAGTTGTTGAACTGCGAAAGCTTGACCTGAGGGAGTCATTTATGATGATAGAGCATTATTGGATGAAACTCCAAGATTTGCAGTATAATAAGAATTCACACGGTTGATTTCTCTCTGTTTATCATCAATGTCACATGCCTTGATAACCGCCATGACTTCTGCAAGAGGGAGATGACTCAAATCCTTGGTTTTCTTAATCACAACAACATTCATATCCCATGACCTAGGAAGAGCATTCAGAACTTTCTTGTTGATTTCTGACTTGGTCAAGAAAATCCCTGAAATGTTCATGTCAATTGTGAGTGCAGTGAATCATTGCAATTGAGCTTCAAGAGTCTCTCCTGGAATGATGTTGAACATGTTGAATTTCTGTCTCAGCATGTCCTGCCGACTCTCTTTCATATCTTCATTTCCCTCATAGACCTCAATAAGTTCTTCCCATAGAGATTTAGCTGAAGAGTACTCATGAAAACCTTGAGCAATATCAGGGGATAATGCCATGGTTAAGGTGGCTAAGGATCTTTCCTGTTCTTCAATCAACTCAAAATCCTCATCAGTATAATTGTCAATAGATTTGTCAACCAATTGACCTCCAATATTCACAGTAATTCTGACAGGATCTCTAAGAAGGCTTCTCTAGATCTTGAAATCTTTCATCTTAATGTATTTTTCTATCTTATACTTCCACTCTGGAAAACCATCAGCAGACATCAACCTTGGAATACGAGTAGTCGTGCCGATAACAACATCAAGTTCTTGAAATTGAGTTTGACTTTGAGAATCCATTTAAAATTGAAGTGATTTGAAGTTCCAAAAAGGTTTACGGTTAATCTATAAAAATAAAATGTTTATAGTCGTAAAGAGAGTTTACGGTTGATATGTTTGCGACCGTAAACTGAGTGTACGGTATAAGTTCATGGTTTATGGAGTTTACGGTTTATGGGTTTACTGTTCTTCAATCCTGTTTACGGTGCTTGAATATTAAGAGATTACGGTTTTTGAATATACCCTTTTACAACGGTAAACTGAGTTTACGGTTGGCAGTAAACTCTCAAATAGCCTTCAAAACTCGAGCTTTCAGATAAAATCAGTTCCTTCAACGCCTGGAATGTAGAATTTAATGATCAAACAATGAGAATAACAGCTTGAACACTCAATATCTCGATCGAATGAGTTTTGATACCAGTTTACGCTCTGATACCAATTGTAAGTCCCCAAATATGCCTATGTATCAATCAAATCCCTTTGATGGTGCAGAATCCCAATCAAATGGATGATGTCAGATTCAATAGAAGAGAAGGAGAAGAAGAAGAAGATGATGAATCTATGTATGATATGATTAGAATGAAGATCTGGATACAAAGATTCTCACACACAAAACTTATCTCTAATTTCTCTCTCTAGAACACCTTCAAATGCACACACTTAAGCTCCTTGGTGTTCATAACTCTCCCTCACACCCCTCACCCATATATATATATATATATATATATATATATATATATATATATATATATATATATATATATATATATATATATATATATATATATATATATACTTGGGCTGCAAACTAGGTTTACGGTCGTAAACACACTTCTTGACGGTAAACTTATAAAATATTACAAAAAATTACAATCAACAAAAAAAACAAAGTATAAACCATATTTTTGACCCAACAATCTCCCCCTTGGTTTATAGCTTTCTTTTCTTTTCTTAAAGTTAGATATCATTTTTATTTTTGTTAAATTTGTTCATAGTTTCTTCTAATTTAAATATTAGGGTAGAATTAAAAAAAAAAACAGAAAATTAAAAAAATCCAAATAATAGTGTTATTTATGTTTTATTTCTTGTTCAAGAAAATCAAAATTCCAAAAATATTTTTGTTTCTATGATAAATGTTCTTTTAGTTTTGTTTTGTCTTGAAAAGTGATTTCATGTATAGATAAGACTCATAAAGTTTGTGTCGAAGAATTCTGAGCCAAGGCTTCATCTGTGAGCATCGAAGAATTCGCATTCGAAGGAGCAAGAAATGAAGATTATTCTTTCGACATTCAATCCTTCAACCTTAGAAGAAAGGTCAAGCTGACTTGAAGAATATGTGACAGATTGCATTGAAGCCTCCTCAATCAGTCTGCTGCTATCTTAAACCTGCTGAAGTGATCTAGAAGATTTGTTCTCTCTGAAGATTTGTCAAGTTGAAAGTGCTATCTTTCAAGAATCAGTACATCAAGCCTCCTCACCCGACGTGTGTTCAAAGCCAAATTCTGAAGAAAAGCCCAACCACTCAATATGAAGTCTTTATTGAAGATTCATCAAGTTCATCTTGAAGTTGTGAAGAATTTGAAGATTAATGTTGAAGCCAATCTCCCATTGAAAATTGATAAGAAAAGCCAGCTACTTTTTAGGAGGAGCTTGTTGGGTCATTTAAGAAAAGAAAAGAAAATTATAAACCAAGGGGGAGATTGTTGGGTCAAAAATATGGTTTATACTTTGCTTTTCTAGTTGATTGTAATTTCTGTAATATTTTATGAGTTTACGGTCAGGAAGTGTGTTTACGGCCGTAAACACGTTTACGACCGTAAACCCAGTGTTTACAACCGTAAACCTAATTTGCGGCCCAAGTATATATATATATATATATATATATATATATATATATATATATATATATATATATATATATATATATATATATAGGGGTGAGGGGTGTGACGGAGAGTTAGGAACACCAAGGAGCTTAAGTGTGTGCATTTGAAGGTGTTCTAGAGAGAGAAACTAGAGAGAAGTTTTGTGTGTGTGAATCTTTGTATCCGGATCTTCATTCTAATCATATCATACATAGATTCATCTTCTTCTTCTTCTTCTCATTCTCTTCTATTTGATCTGACATCATCCGTTTGATTGGGATTCCACACCATCAAACGGATCTGATTGATACACAGGCATATTTGGGGACTTACATCTACAACTTTCGTTTAGACTCCATTGTCTATTTTTAACTTCATTTTTAATATTATATTTTTAACAAGCCGGGATAGGAAAGGTCCGTTAAAAATTCATAATTTCTTCATCTGATGTCCGTTTTCGTCTGTTTTTTTTTACCGTTGGACTACTATTGACGAGATCTTCGATTCTCGTTTAGTTTATGTCAGCTAAAAATTTCTCGGTCTGTAATTCGAATTTTGAGTTGTATACTGTTACGTTGATTTTTAGAAAAATCATAACTTTCTCATCCGAAATCATATTTAACGTTCTTTTTTTCATGAATGTTCTCGGTTTAACGAATATTACGACTTTCATTTAGATCACTAAAGCTAAAAATTAGTTTATCATAAACTCACATTTTACGTCATATGGCGTCATGTCAGTTCTGTCATGAAACTTCAATAAGTCATAACTTCTTCGTTATAACTCGGATTTCAGTGAGGTTTTCGCCTAAAATTTTCTAACGAGATAATTTGCAACTTTCAATTACATTAGTTTTACTTATTTCCGACTTCAATTTTACAGTTTCGTTAATTTCAATATTTTACTTTTTATTAGAATCTCATAAGACTTCCCATCACTTTTCCGAATGATTCTAAACATAGTTTTACTTCAAATCTCATAAACTATCTTGTTAAAACTCAACGTTCAAAATCATATATTATATAATAATATTCACTTTTAAACTAACAAAACACAATAACTAAACATGTATGTTACAAAAACATTCAATTATACAGTACCTTCTACTTACAACAGAAAATATAGGATTTTCTGGAATACTCTTGTTATACATTTTTAAAACAGAAACACACATGCTATACACAAGATTTGACACAAAACTTTCAAACCGATTTACAAAAAAATATCGTATTTTCTGGTGTTGACAAAGTGATACATGACTTTTCTTACACCATGCATATGGACTCACCAACATTATATATGTTGATGTTTTCAAAATAACCAATATTCTCAGGAAATCGTTAAGCAGGTGGACATCAAGAACGTGTGGATTTTTTTGCAATTTGTTGTTATCATACACTTTATCTTTTTGGGATGTAACTTTTATAAACAAGTACATTGGTGTAAACCCAGTACTGTTGTAATATTCTATGTGTGATGATGATGTTGTCTCGTTTCAATTATATACACTATGAATGTATTAAAAGATGAAGTCACCCAACTCCCAGATATTTCGTCATTTCTCCAGTTCAGGGGTGTGACAGATTGGTATCAGAGCAATGTTTATAGTGAACTGGCATATCTAATCATACAACATATGCAACTATAAATACATTGGGGCTAAACTAATCTGAACAAAATAATTAAAATACATACCTATGTGTGCATCATTAGAATAACAATAAAAGTATTTGGAGGAATTGAACATTGTGGTTAAACCCGGACAGTTATGTAGTCGTATTGAGGATAAATATAGCCCGATCAACAATATTTATTCAAAATACGACCAACATGTGTTTGGGAGTGATCATGGTGGGAAATGGCTCTAGAAACTTACCTCGTATACAAAAAAATTTAAGGAACTCAAACATAAAAAGTTAAAACACTATAGGAGTTTTTTTGGCATGCTATCTACATATACCCCCTTACAAACTTCTCACACCTCCATTTCTCGCACAGATATCATGGTCGAGCACCAGCACGGTGACCTATACTATCAGGCCTTAGAGGCCAGTGGATCGGTTGAAGAAGAACCACAAATGGTTCAAGAAGAGAATCCAGAAGTGAGGCCTGAAGAGTATGTGGTAACAGACTATGAGGATGGCGAATATGACGAGGAATCAGATGAAGGAGAAGATATTAAGGAAACCCCTAGTGAACCCCACCCTACGGAGACCCCACTAAACCAGCACGTAGTACAGGAGAGCACTACTGGCCGTATACTCTCTCACACACTCTCTCTCTCTATCTCTCTCTCTCTCTCTCTCTCTCTCTCTCTCTCTCTCTCTCGAGCAAGAAGTAGCCAACCTCAAGCAACAACTTTTTGTGGCCGAAGCTAGGGCCATTCGAGCAAGGAAGAGGGAAGATGTGATCACTCAGGAGTCGAACGAATTGGCCGAACTTCTGGTGCGTCAGTTCGACATTTGAGCATCGCTAACACTGTTGATAGGACTCTCTTTCCAGTCACTATTGTATGTAGAACCGACTTTATGATTAAGTGAGTACACTACTCATAGAGCCGCTGTGTTGTCGGATTATGCATTCTCTATATGTACTATATGCTTTTTTTAAAGGAAAATTTTCATACTCTGTACTACGAATATTATATCTTTAATGAAATAGTTTTATGTGTTGGGTCTATTATGTGTTGCATCTTGGGCTCGTTCCTTAGCCCAGTTTTGTATCCGGATTAGGCTTGTCAATTCATGATTTAATTATTAGGTTTTTAGTATTTATAGATGCTTGCATGCATCTTGGTACGTAGCTGTTTAGTTGATCATTCATAATGTTTATTGTTTCTATCGATTGTAACCCTAAAAGCCTCTACAACGGAAGTTCTTCATCGAGCTCTGCTGAGGAGTGAATTTATTGAATCATTCAGCTCATTGTTGGTTCATTCTTTTGTTTGTTATTTTGTTTGCATGATTCTGATAAACCTATGTAAGATCTAAACGATCAAAGAGAATTTTCATCTCATCAATTGGTATCAGAGCGGGAGACTGTGTAATTCATACACATCTCTTCTGTCAAAGAAGTGATTAGGGTTCATTCCACATTCATTGATATTTATTGAGCTGTCATTCCTTAATTGACTATCTCATTAATTATTAATCTTGCCCTAATATTACGTGTTACGAAGTCTGATCTTATAATAGGTTAAACAATCAAGCTTGGACGATTCTCAAATCCAATCCCATCAACATCTCTAATAGCATTGGAACAACAACCAAGATCCCAATTCTCTACGTTCAAGACTATGAAGTGTGGACACACCATTTTGAAGATTACATTATTAGATCGGAAGATAATGGGTATCTGATATGGGAAGCAATCACAGTTGGCCCATTCGCTCATTCAAGCACTTCAAGAATCATTAAAACTCAGAAGGAGTACAATGATCTTTTAAAAGATCTGAAGGACGTCGCTCAGGACAAAAAGGAAAAGTTCCAATGCAACATTAAGCCATTGAGACTAATTCGATTCGCCCTTCAATCCGACACGTTTCGATTAGTAAGTTCATGTGGTACGGCAAAGGAAATCTAGGATCGGCTGCGAGAACTGTATTCCACAGATGAAGATCTGTAGTACTCGATTTAGACCCTACTTCTCTCAGAATTTGGAGAGTTCAAGCAGAAGCCAGAGGAGGTTGTAACACAAACGTTCAATCGGTTCAATCATCTTCGCAGTAAGATGATCAAACACGATATAGAAAGAAAACTCATCGAACAGAAGGTCACTTTCTTAAATGGCTTAAGACCCGAATGGAGGGTGGTTGTGTCGACAATTAAAGCACACGAGCAGTTTAACTCATATTCTTTGGCGAAACTTGTGGGGATTATGAAATCCCAATTAAAGACTATGTTACAAGAGAAGAGTGTGGTCTCAAACTTTGGGTCCTTGGCCCTTCTGTCGAAGGGGCGGCAGAAGAAGAAGAATATCTGAATCTGGGAGACTACGATCTGACATCTGAAGACTATGCAATGATGGTGTCAAATCCCAAGAGGTTCATCAAGAAGAAGTTTTCTACCAACAAGAACCAAAATTAGCAAGGAAGCTACAACTCTGAAAAGGCAAAAGAGGAGCCGAAGGTTGAAGAATCAAAGAAAGAAGCGCAGGGTGAAGCTGATTCTGGTGTCAGCTGTTTTTACTGTGGAAGGAAAAATCACTACGCAAAAGATTGCGTGTTGAAGAAAATGGCAGAGAAAGATGATGAGAATGACGAAGAAGAGAGTCTCCTGAAAAGACTGGAGGAGATCAAAAGGAAGAAAACTACTACTAATCCCTCTATGAATGCTCTAATTGTACAGGGTTCGGTAGATGATGATGAATTCGGTGGCGTACAGGTGTGGTCGACCGACTCAGAAGATGATGAAGTGAGAAAGCCTTCTCATGGAAAGGCTTATGTGGCGAAGAGTGGTGACGCTAGTGGAAGATGTTTGATGGTGACAGATGTATCCCAGATGAGGGGATACAATACTGATGGTGGAAACGAAGTGACTAAGGAGTGAGAGGATGTGTGCTTTACAGCGAAGCCTCTCAGTGTGTAGATCAATGAACTGATCAAGAAGATACAATCCATTTTGTTTCATTTAAAATCCCACAAACATCGTATGAAAAAGAATTAAATAACTTGACTTCAAGAATTTCAAATCTAGATAGTTGTTTAACTCAAACACGTGTCACAAATTCTAATCTAACAGACCAAATGAGCAGGGTGTCATCCAAGAGTGAGGAGCGAAGAATGTGGATTGAGCAGAAAGAGATGGAGCTGGTTAGGTCCAGGGATGAAAATATCTATTTGTAAAGAGACAATCTTAAATTATTAAAACAAAGAAACGTTTTTTGTTTGATTGCAAAAAGACTTTATACTAACATTACACAACTGCATTTGAACTGTGAAATAGGCCAGAAAATACATCGCATGATTTTTCCCTTTCTTGAGCTAAAGGAGGATGAAATTGATGCTGAAGCATACAACTGTAAAAGTGTTGTATCTTATGATGATGTAAGTCCAACTTATATATTTGGTCTGGACAAAATTGAATCATTTATTAAGTCCAAAGACCATAAGGACATGCTTAGAGACCTTTTGGACGAATATGACAAGTTGAAACTCAGAGCCAAACCATACAAAAATTTGACTTATTGAGTACCAAATTAAGTTCAGAAAATAAAATTGATGTTGAAAATGCATCTGGACTCAAGGAGGACGATGACATGAATGAAATCTTTGTAGAGGATGAGGTTGACTGTTCAGATTTTATTAAGAGCGAACCTGAAAACAACAAAAACTTGATTTCTGAAAATTCTGTGGAATTCGCTCGTTTATCCAAAAGTAAGTCCCCAGTCCTTAAAGAAAAAGCCGTTGTTTACCAAAAGGTAAGAACAACTCCTAATCAATTTTATAAGGTCACATGAGTAACTGAACATCAGACAGCCGAACTCACTGCACTAGTGAATGAAGATAATGCAGATGTGAGTATTTCTGGTCTGCACCGATAGACAATGCAGATGAAACAGTTGGTTTTTCGGAGCGAACATCATGGAAGGACAAAGGTAGATACGTGGCAGAACCACTAAATAAACCTACCAACTATGACGTACCCAGTACCAGTGGAACAAAAGAGGTTCTACTGGAATACGTCTCCTCAACAAGCGAAACCTCTTCCATGAAAAGTAAACCTGTTGTTCAGAAGCCGAAAAAGAAGGTAAATATTCACAAACAACCGAAACAGGTGAACAATCAAAATCGCCAGAGGAATCTGAGATACAAGAAAAATCTCTCAGAGAGAAATCAATTTTGGTGCTCCCAAAATCCTCACTACAATCACTTTAATAGAAACTACAAGCCAAAAGGAGAAGAGAATAAGGATAAAAGGAGCTTCGGTCAGTTGGATCAAAAGAACCAAAAGTAGACTTTCGGGCAACAGAAAGTACAAGACCGAATGAATAGGTTCGGTCCCAATAGCAACAGCAACCGAACGCCCGGTTTCGGTCCACCAAACAACAACAGAGAAAGACTTGAGTTCAGTCTATCAAGCTCTTATAGTAGAAGATCCAGTTTCGGTCCAGAAACTCACAACAACCGAAAAGGCAGTTTCGGCCCATCAACAAACAGCAACCGAAGGTTCGGCTTCGGTCCCTCAAATGATCAAAACCGAAAGGATCATTTCAAACCACAAGTCAGGAAATATTCTCATTCTAAATTCTATTCCTCTAATTCTTCTCGTTCTCATTCCTCTTCTAAGCCTAATTATTGTCCTACACCAAGCTCACAATCGATGAAGGATTTGAAAGGAAAAAGTAAGATTTCTTCAGCATATGAAGACCGAAAGAAAGCTAAAGTCCAAACTCCTGAACCTAAATCCAAAACACATGAAACTAACCCTAATAAAATCAAAGTGTTTACTATTAAGAGGAAAGATAAAACAACTTTAATAAAATGAACTTATCTTGTTGATGCTTCTTTTGTTATTCCTGTTTCTGTGAAAGGATCACTAGGACCCAATAAAATTTGGGTTCCTAAATCTGTTTAATTTTTACAGGTTATAAGTGACGAGCAGTTCGACGAAGAATGGTACATAGATAGTGGTTGCTCGCGTCACATGACAGGAAGAAAGGAAGAACTAAGGGAGTTTCGGTCCTTTCAAAATGGTGGTAACGTCAAGTTTGGTAACAACTCCTATGGAACGATCAAGGGTTATGGGATGATAACCAATGGAGATTTTACAATCAGGAAGGTGGCTTATGTAGAGGGATTGTAGCATAACCTCATCAGTGTGTCTCAACTGGTGGGAGGTACAGGTCTCAAAGTTTCGTTCGATGACGAAGGTTCAGAAATAATAGAGAAGAGGACCAACAAAGTGATTCTCAAGTCAGAACGAAAGGTGAAATGTTCCCTCTGAATCTCAACCCAATCAAAGGAAAACCAACCATATGTCTATTGTCTAAAGCTCATTCAGACAAAAGCTGGTTGTGGCACCGAAGGCTCTCGCACCTCAACTTCAAAGACATCAACAAGCTAGTCATCGGTGATCATGTTCGGGGTCTTCTACTGCTCAAGTTCGATTGAGAACATTTATGTGCTGCTTGTGAAATGGGGAAACAAAGTCGCCAAAGTCACCCAACAACCATAAATACAAAAGTTGTTGAACCACTTGAGTTGCTTCACATCGACTTATGTGGTCCATCCTCAATTGAGAGCATTGGCGGTAACAAATACATCCTTGTTATTGTTGATGACTTCTCACGATTTACTTGGGTGTTCTTTCTAAAGCTCAAATCTAAGGCAACTCCCAAGCTAAAGATCTTTATCAAGCAGGTTGAAGTGCAACTGAGAAAAGTCGTTCGAAACATCAGGAGCGATAATGGACTAGACTTCAAGAACAAAGGATTGGAAGATTTCATAGCAGAAAAAGGCACAAGTC